TATGGTCAGAGGAACTCTCTCGACCTTCTAGAATTGCAGTTAAATAGCCTAAATGATTTTGCTGTTTCAGCAAGGCCAAATCCTCCTTAGTTCTAGACCCTGTCGAATGGACACTTTCGTTGACAGCAGCAACCACGTTGGCCACCTGTTCTAGAATTGCTTCAGTGTTTGTAGGATTTTAGATCCCTTCAGCAGAGCCTTCTTTACCATCAGCTTCTGGAATCCTTTCATCTTGACTCCCCACCTCCAGTACACTTTCCCTCTTTATCACAGTCTCAGAATTAGGGGTCCTTTCCTCCTCATTTTCTTGTACGTCGACCAACGGAGCCCTATTTTATTCATGATTTCCTATAGGGCCTTCTTCGTTGACTTCCTCTATGGTTTCATGCTGAAGTTTGGAAGTTTGATTCACTTCATCATCTGAACTCATGAAAGAGACTTTCGCTGAAGAAGGCCTATAAGTAGGCTCTCCCTCACTATTTAATAGAGTGGCAGAGCCTTCGACAGGAGTAGGGACTTGGTTGGAGGTGCCAGCAGTGTCCTGGAGATTAAAAGAAGTTTGTTTCTTTCATAATTCTCATAAAGAAAAAGGGTAGTTCAAGAAGTAAGTGATGGTCTGTCGAAGCAAATACCTGAATTGGGATTTCAGCACCGGGACTAGAATTATCGCTCTTGCTATGATTGTTTAGCCTGGCAGCTACTTCCTGTTCAGTAGGCTCTTTGATAACTACAGGAGGAGGCCTCGTAGCTGTAGTCTTAATTCTAATTTTGGGACGAGGCTCAACGGCAGGAACTGGTTTCTTTAACCTTTGTCTCTTCAGAGGAACATGAGGAGAATCCTCTTCTTCGTCACTAGAGATTTTGATCTCCTGGACCTTCCATTTTTTGGGGGTAGTTTTCTGAATACCCAGAAAGACAAGTCAAGGAAATCAGTACCCATGTCAGACGATCATGGAAAATAAGGGCATGGAAGAAAGTAAATACCTTGGGAGAAGGGTTGACAGAAGGATCTCCCCCTTTTGTGCTTTCAGCAGCCTTCTTCGAAGTGGTTCTCTTGACATCTACAAAAAAAAACTAAGGTTAATCGAGCGTCGAATGATAAATCTGAAGCAAAGAGAAAGAAAAGAAGTAATACCTTTCTTGAACCTGTCAAGGACCAGCTTAAACGCCTCACGAAGGTGGTGGGCGAAGTCCTTCTCATCGAAGAACTCTTCATCATAATATTGTCTCCACCACCCCTCAAAATTTCCAGAACTCAAAAAGTTGAGATTAAAGTCGAACATGGTTAGTACAGTTCGACCAACGTACCTACCAATATGCTTGGTAGCAGCATCTTCCGAGTAGTCTGTGTTGTAAAATAACAGCAGTTTCTCTCGAGGATAAATGGGTGAGGGAAGTGACTGGACAATGCCAAATTGTCGAGAGACAAGATTTGGTTGATAATCGATCAAGCTTAATTGGTTTTTGGAGCTCTTGAATCTCAATGGCATAATTCTAGGTCGAAGAAACGATTCCCACATGCCCACATATTCATCATTCAAGTCTTCCTCCTCAGTCAAAGGAAATGGTCTGGTAAACCATTCTGGGCCAACTTTTCGACTAACAAAAGGAGCCATGGTCGAAACAAAACATTTGCGCTTTGCAAACATCATCACGAAACTTGTGAAAGCCTTCTGAAACTGTTGACCTTCATCAGTAGGAGTCAACAGTGCAAGCCTGGTACCTTCGACCCTCCTGTTCAGGATTTCTGGGGCCGCTTCATTGATCTGATTCTTCTGAGGAAGAAAAGATTCAAAGGTGGCATTAAGCCAAAGTTGGAGAAGCCAGAAAGGGCCAGAGAGCAGCAGGCTTGCCCTATCCCCTATAACCTTGAGTTGAGTCACACCATTGCTGATGGACTCATATAGATGCCAAAATCAATTCGGCCAGACAGAGGGGATAGCCATGATGAAGTTGCGTCGCGAGCGTGAACATTTTCTTAGTCACCTGAAGTGACTTGGTGCAGAAAACAAAACGGCATAACCACATAGCCAGAAAAGCTATATGTTCTGCCTCCGAAATAGTACTGGAGGATTTATCATGGAAGTGGTTGATAAAAGTGGTGTAGGTGTGTTTTGTAGCTGCAAACCCAATAACATCTTTAGATAAATCCTCAAGATCGAAATAATCGCCAGTCGGTCGAAGACCGGTAATTGCTGCTATGTCGAAGAGGGTGGGGGTCACCATCCCACAGGGAAGATGAAAGGTAAATGTGAGTTATCCCAAAAATATAGCGAAGATACCAACATGAGAGGACAATAAGACAATCCTGTCTTCGACAGCATCACCAAATCGTAAATTCCCATTTCCTTCCAGACGGAGGTTTGTGCCTTCTCCACCTTATTCAACCAATCCGAATACTCTGAGGAGAGATTAGGGCATAATCAAAAGATCCTGGTCCCTTTTTTCATAAATTGAAGGTTAATGTCCTCCGTAGTCTGAACATGTTGCTGGTTGGCCGGAGTGGCGTCTTCAGGATCATCCCTAGGCTTCTTCGCGCATCCTATAAGTTTGAGTCTTGGATGAGTAGGGAAGAAGGCACGGTTCCTCATGGGATTCTCGACGCATGTGGACAGAGGACCAGACATAGCGTATATGTCTTCAGAGTACCTAATGGGAATGAGGAGCTGGGAATCATATGCTTCTCGCCTCTCCCTCGTCATGGGTTCAGAAACAAACCGAAGCCCATCAGTCGAGGAAAGAGAAGGGTTAGTAGAAAAGATCTCTGGTTGGCTTTGGATATCGTCAGCATTTTTAGGTTGGGGATTGTTTGGTGCATTGGAAAGGAAAGTCATTGCTGCAGATTTGGAAGAAACGAAGTTGACAATGCAAGGTGTTTAAAAGCAGAAGACTTGGAAATGCTTGGAGTTATGAAAGTTCCAAATGAAAAGGCTCAAGAGTATTTATAGTCTTCAGAAAGGGATATGTCTCGTCAAGGCCATTTAATATTGTGAAGATAGTGGGGCACGTGGCGAAGCATGAAGCGGTTACCGTGCAGATGATGGGAAAGGTTTTGACATGCTTGCCTAGGTTCTAGGAATATGGTCATCATGGCAGCGTGGTAACGGCAGTTAGAAAAGACATCTTGGAGAAAGAGTAATGATGGTTTTTTTGAAAGCAGCAACTGTTGGAAGACGAAAAGCGCACATCAAACCTTTGTGGACAACAAGAAAGACATGTGTCAAACGGAAAGATCAAAGAATGGCTATTTCTTTGGGCGTCGAAATAGACATTCTTGGGGGGAAATTTATTGACTCCCGAATTCGACATTTACTATATTTGGTCTGTTAGACCAAAAAAACTGGAATAAATCAAGCCAAGTTGAAGAATGTTTCAACGTGTGAAATAACTTAGAAAAATATCTAAGTTATATTTGAGCTTCGACCAGGGCTCACTTTCAAGATTTCGACTGAGAAGGTCTTATGACCTTCGACTAAGAGAGAATATCCTCGCTTCGACACAAAATGCGAGGGACATTTGAATTTGAATTATTGGAGGGAAAGACAGTTTCGCTAGCGGCTAAAGAGAAGCAACGTGGCTGGAAGCTAGAGGTCGAGGAACATGCAGAGGACACTTGTCTTCATCTTAGCGCAGAATCACTCCTCGGCGATTACATAGTTTTTAGTATAAATTAGGAAATCTGTGTAGTTTTTTGGTGGTGTTGAACCTATTGTGCTAGTTACTCAAATGTTGTCCAAGTACCCGCTGTGTGAGAAAGGATAAACTGAGAAATGTACGTTGGAAACACCTCTTTTCATTAATGAAAGTCTTTTACATTGCTTTAATTTTATTTTGTAAAGCTACCTTTCTTGCATCTTTACCTGCATTTCTACATTTCTATTTACTTTCTTATTTTCCAAAACCTCAAGTATCTTTTTTCTGGTCGAACGCGCGTTCTTCCTGATTGTTTTTCTTACATAAAAATTAGCATATGTTCTGGGATCAATCTGATCGATCCTGCGAGTAACCAAAAGAACTTTCTTTTTTGAAAGATCAACGGTTGTTTACCAAAAACCACGGTAAACACACACGCATCTGAATCATCCATCAATTCCAGTTTTTTCCATCAAATACTGGAAGCTTTGTGTTCAAGCTACCGTTTCTGCCGTTCATCTTTGTTCTTATGCAAATTCACTCAAATCTCACCAACACTCGTGTTTCTCAATCCCTCATAATCAAGAAATGTTATTCTGTTCTGATTCTGATCTTCAATTCACTGTGAATTGAATGAACATAAATCAATCACACACACATCACGTACACCTATATTTCCTAATGAATCGAATCAAAATTCTAGATATAAATTATTATAGCACAAAATTAAAGATAAAAGTGAAAATAAAAGAAGAGAGAGAAAATAGATCTTTACTAACTTTCAAAAAAAGGAAGAAAAATTACTCTCAAAAATAAAATCAATTACAACAAACTGAACAAACTTCACTTTATATACCACATATCAAATACAAACTATACTTAATACAAAAATGAAATGCTAACTAAATTGTGTTGAATTTGAATTATAATTCAACAAATAACGTAACATTTTTTTCAAATAAAAAATTAGGGATATCAAGATAATAAAAAGGTATCCAAATAAAATCTCTAGAAAGAAGTATTATGAAATTTTTAGAAGTCTGTGAGAAATGAAGGAGTTGGAAAAAAAGCATTACATATATTTATCTCTTTTAAAATGGAATCTACATGACATTCCAATTCAAGTAAAATTGGAATCTACATGGCCAACCATAGTTGTTAAAGAAGGAATGCGTGGAACCTACCTAACACAACGCGTTTTAATAAAAGCATTTTGAATTTTCTTACAAAATCCTTGAAATTTCAACGCAGCAAGTTTACGACAAAAAAAAATCAACCGCGCTTGTTCATTACTACCCACTCACTGTGTGTTTGTTTCCATTCCAGTAAGATTCACAATCCATCCTCTACAAATTTAGTTTATTCAGATGGCTAGTAGTAGCGGAAACTCCTCAGTTTCAGCTCTCAGATATTTTAACTATGATGTCTTTGTGAGCTTCCGAGGTGAAGACACTCGCTACAATTTCACTGATTTTCTTTTCGACGCCTTTCAAACCAAAGCCATTTTTGCATTTAGAGATGACGATAATCTTCCAAAAGGTGAATCCATAGCACCCGAGCTCCTTCGTGCAATCCAACACTCTCAAATTTATGTTGTTGTCTTCTCAAGGAACTATGCTTCCTCAACTTGGTGCTTGCAAGAACTCGAAAAGATATGTGAATGCTATCAAGTGTCGGGAAAACATGTTCTTCCTGTTTTCTATGATGTTGATCCTTCTGAGGTCAGACATCAAAGAGGAATTTATGCTGAAGCCTTTTCCAAACATGAACAAAGATTCCAACACAACTCTCAGATGGTGCTAAGATGGAGGGAAGCTCTAACAAAGGTTGCAAATCTCTCGGGATGGGATCTGCGTGATAAGTAAGTAAAACATATGCTATTTTGTTGATCTGCGTGATAAGTAAGTAAAACATATGCTATTTTGTTTACTGTGTGCGCGCTTTTTGTTTTGGTTTCCTAACGTCATCATTTGCTGTCACTGCTCTACTTCTATGAACTTTCAGGTCACAATCTGCAGCAATTAAAGAGATTGTTCAAAAGATAATTAATATATTGGATTGCAAATCTTCATGTGTTTTAAAAGATTTAGTTGGTATGGATTCTCCTATGCAAGAATTAGAAAAGCTTTTACTTTTGGACTCCGTTGATGATGTTCGTGTCGTAGGAATTTGCGGGATGGGAGGAATAGGGAAGACAACTCTTGCTACTGTTTTATATGACCGAATCTCACAACAATTTGGAACATGTTGTTTTATTGATGATGTAAGCAAAATTTATAGACTACGTGATGGTCCACTCGATTTACAAAAGCAAATTCTCGGCCAAGAGCACCATCAGATATGCAATCATTACAATGCAACTAATCTGATACGACGTAGGCTCTGTCGTCAAAAGGCCCTTGTGATTCTTGATAATGTTGATCACATTGAACAACTGGAAAAAATAGTTGTGCATCGTGCATGGTTAGGTGCCGGTAGTAAAATCATTATCATTTCTAGAGATGAGCATATATTGAAACAGTATGGGGTGGATGCAGTTTACAAAGTTCCTCTCTTGGATTGGGCCAACTCTCTTCAATTATTGTGTCGAAAGCTTTCAAACTCGATCACATTTTAAGTAGTTACGAATGGTTGGTTAATGACATACTAAATTATGTCAATGGCCTACCACTAGCAATTAAAGTATTGGGTTCATTTTTGTTCGGCCGAGATATATCCGAATGGAAAAGTGCATTGGCTAGTTTGAGAGAAAATCCAGACAAAGATGTCATGGATGTGCTCCGATTAAGTTTTGATGGGCTAAGGGAGACAGAAAAAGAAATATTTCTTCATATTGCTTGTTTTTTCGACATGCATGTGGAGAAATATGTTAAAAATGTTTTAAATTGTTGTGGATTTCATGTTGATATTGGATTAAGAGTTCTCATTGATAAATCACTTATAAGCATTGAAGATGAAATGATTGTAATGCATGATTTGTTGGAAGAGCTAGGCAGAAAAATTGTTCAAGAAAACTCAAGCAAAGAGCCAGGAAAGTGGAGAAGGTTGTGGTTTGACGAACAACTTTATGATGTTATATTGAACAATATGGTAAATAAATATTTTGGATATAAAAATCTTATTTCCATTTTTAAACTATATATATATTAAATCTTTTTCTTTCCTTTTTGCAATGTTTTAGGAAAATCATGTTGAAGCCATAGTTTTGGATCATGCATATAAAGATTATAATGAAGAGATGAATACATGGATAGTCGATAGCTTGTCAAAAATGAGTCATCTTAGATTGCTCATCATCAACTCTGTGAATATCTCAGGAAGTTTGGGCTGTATTTCTAATGAATTAAGATATGTTGAGTGGCTTAAATATCCTTTCATGTGTTTGCCATCTACTTTTCAGCCCAATCAACTTGTTGAGTTAATTTTGAAGAGTAGCTGCATCAAACAACTGTGGGAAGGCAAGAAGGTGCTATAAGTTCTCTTTTTATTTATTTCTTCTATTAGAAATCTAAACAAACTAGAAACAATTCATTTCTCACCTCTATTTTTAAGCTAAATTTATAGAAACTAATGCATTTAGTTTTGTTGGTCTTTTACATACAGTATCTGCCCAAATTGAGAACTTTGGATTTGAGCTACTCCAAAGATCTAGTAAAGATGTCAGATTTTGGAGAGGTCCCAAATCTTGAGCGGCTAAACCTAGAAGGATGTATAAAACTTGAGCAGTTGGATCCATCTATTGAGTTTCTAAGAAAGCTTGTTTCCTTGAATTTAAAAGATTGCCAAAATCTAAAAAACATACCAAACAACATATTTGGTCTCAGCTCTCTTAAAGATCTAAATATGTCTGGATGTTCTAGGTGTTTTAAAGAGTTTAACAATTCGAGACATTTGAATATATGTGAAAGTGCATCACATTCACAATCAACGTCTTCCATCTGCAAATGGACCACAATGCATTACCATTCCTTGTTTCCCATTCCCAAAACAAACACAGTTATGTTTCCTTCCTTGCATATCATGTATTGTTTACTTGAAGTTGATATTAGCTATTGTGGTTTAAGCCAACTCCATGAGGCTATTGGATGTTTACGTTGGTTAGAAATTTTAAATCTCGGGGGAACAATTTTGTGACCCTTCCTAGCCTTAGTGAGCTGTCCAAACTTGTATATTTGAACTTGGAGCATTGCAAGCAGTTGGAATCTTTGCCTGAGCTTCCTTTTCCGATGACTATAGAGCAGGATCTTCGTAAGAACAAATATTGGAAGAGAACTGGATTGATCATTTTCAACTGTCCTAAATTAGGCGATAGAGAACGATGCAGTAGAATGACATTTTCTTGGATGACACAATTCATTCGAGTGAACAATGAATACCCTGCTTTCTTTGACATTGGTATTGTCATTCCAGGAAGTGAAATACCAAGTTGGTTCAACAATCAGAGTGTTGGTAGTTCATTACCAGTATCTCCCATTATGCAGGACAATGGACATAATATTATTGGCTTTTTATGTTGTGTAGTATTTTCTGTAGCACCTCATTATCCAATAGTGACAAGAAGTTCTCAATGGGTACCTCAAATCACACTGTATGCACCATTAAGCCACGTTGCCTTTCTTCCAGTAATTGTTGATGAAGATCTTATCACTGACAAATCAAATCACATATGGCTAGTCTATTTCCCTTGTGAGTCATCCTATGATGTTGTGTATGACGGTTTCCGTGTTGAAACTAGTAGAAATGGAGGCTTGAATGTGGAGGTGAAGAAATACCAATATCGTTGGGTATATAAACAGGATCTGCAAGAGTTCAACTCCACAATGATGCATCCCGGAAATATGTCAACTCTGAAGCGCGAGTTTTTTGAAATTGAAGATGAGGCACAACCACAACTACACTCATTCAGATGATGAAATAAATCATAACTTGTAGCTACTAGCGCACATGCCGTTTGATCAAACTTCAAAACTGTTGGACTATTTCCCAATCCACTCAGTTGTTTGGTTATAAGGTAAAAACAAAAGCTCATCAAATAAATAAAAAATTTCATCCCTGGAATTGATAAGTTAATTGGGATTGTTTGTTGAGCCCTTATACAAAAATAACCGGAACCGAGATAGGGCTGGTTTTCAGTAATGTTATACTGGTTATTTATGGGATGCCTTCATTGGAGTTAATGTTGATTTTCATCTCTGTTGTCACAAGAAGGCCAGCAAGTGGGAAAATGGGGCTTTGAAGTTAACAGAAGCTTGTTAGATTAAGGTGTAATGTTTACATAAGGAAACTACAATTTAGGTAGGTATTTTTGTCCCATATGTTTTCACTGTATTTGGATCCATATTTTTGCATATAATAATAATATGGATGTTCTTTTTAGTTATTTTTTAATGTTTCATTTAAGTCTTATTATTATTGCTCATGATATCACCCAATAGTCATTCCAGTAATGCAAGTCCCTCAAATTATAAAAATGATCTGTGACAAAGCCGAAAATATTTGAAGACACGTTATTATGACGCATCAAGAGTCACTAGAAGTGGAGTTTGATTTAGAACAAGAGTTATTCCCCATATAAGAATTAACTTAGTAATTCTTCTTTCTCTCATATTTATGGTCTTGCTTATGTAATTTTAGGCTTTGACACAATTCACCTCTTCAAACTAGAGTTTTTTGAAAATATAAAAACTTACGTTATCTTGTTGTCTATTTCATGTGCTTATTTTTTGCTACCTCTTTGCAACTTTCAGGCCACAATATGCAGAGATTGAAATGATTGTTCAGGATATCATACGTATGTTTGGTTACAAGTTTTCATGTCTTCCAAATGAGTTAGTTGGAATGCTTTCTCTACATCAAAGTCTAGGCAAAAAAAAACATCTTCAGTTCTATAATCTACATGATGCAGCTAAATTAATTCGAAGTAAGCTATGTCGTCTCCGAGCCCTTATTACACGATCCAAGACAAAGGGCCATAACAGGTTGTTTCAAAGCGTTTAACAATCGCAATGCACGTGAAGATTATTCTAGTTGTTTGTTGCCTTCCCTGCCTAGTTTCTCTTGTTTGAGGTCTAAGCCAAATCCCTGATGCTCTTGGATGTCTAACTTGGTTTGAAAGACTAAATTTAAGAGGAAACAATTTTTCACATTCCCTGGTCTCTGGGATCTTTCCAAACTCGAATATTTAAATTTGGAGCATTGCAAGCAGTTGAAATCTTTGCCCGAGCTCCCTTCACTTGCAGCTATCAAGCAGGATAAACATAAGGGAGCAGGAATGCTTATTTTCAACTGTCCTAAATTGGGTGAGAACGAACGGTACAGTAACATGATACTTTCATGGACGACGCACTTTATTCAAGCAAAGTCCTTTCGTCAGGTTGATATTGTTATTCCTGGAAGAGAAATTCCAAAGTGGTTCAACAATCGGAAAAAGGGTAGATCAATAAGGACTTTGTGTATGACAAATATAATTGGCATTGCTTGCTGTGCCATATTTTCTGTGGAACCTTTTGAACGGGGACCTGTAACACGGTTAGGTTTTAAGAGCAGCAGTGCTGCCAACTGCAATTATGTTGTCATTCCAGTAACTCTCTTTAGATATGTTATTTCGGTCAAATCCAATCACATGTGGCTAATCTATTTTGATCGGGAACATTTTATCAGTTTTCTGAGCTCTAAAGATAATACACTATGGGAACTTGATCATATCAAAATGGAAGCTTCCACTACGAATGGCCAAGGCTTGCTTCTGGAGGTAAAGAGTTGTGGCTATCGTTGGGTATTTAAACAGGATCAACAGTCATTTGGCTCACATAACAATGACGAGTTGCAGAAAGAGGAAAGTCATAAGCTTGGACCAGCAACTGTTTTGGCGATTAAAGAAGAGGCACGGCCATAATGACATGATTTTGATCTCTGTTATCATCTGCTCAAGGGTCAGCAAGTGGCATTACTTTTTCTCTTCCATTTTTTAATGTAATGTTTGCCAAATGATGATACAGTTTCTGGTATATTTTGTAAATGATACAATTTAGATGGTTTATGATCATTGTAATTCCCTATATAAAAAATTATATTTATCCAACTCTTCCATTTTTTAATCAAAAACTCTTAGCCAAACTTACGTATTTGAATGTTGGAACAATGCTATGAAAGCTGAATTAGAAGCCCTTCATAACATTAACATCTGATCCATTTAAGATTTACTTCTTGGCCAGAAATTTATAGGATGTTGATGGCTCTATGAATGTTATAAAACTAGACTTGTTGTCAAAAGTTACATTATTGAGTTGATTACTGTGATATTCTCTTTGGTTGTCAAGTTAACCAATGTTAGAACTTTACTAGCTTTAGCCTCTATTAAAGGTTGGATTCTTGAAAAATTAGATGTGAATAATGCTTGTTTGCATGGAGAGCCTCAAGATGAGGTCTACATGTTCCTACTCCGTTTGTTTCTTGCCCAGGCAAGTTCTCTATCAAGTTACAATTTGCATTCTTCATTACCTCAAAAATTCTCAAGGTAAATGTTTGTTTTATACTTCCAAGTTTGACATTAAACTTTCTTGTCTTCCAGATTCAAATTGGGCAACTTCCCCTCCACTCACAGATTAGTCAGATTAGTTTCTGGATTGTATGATCCTCGGTTCATCACTCATTTCCTGAAAATCAAAGAAGGAATTCATGGTCTCTTGCTCCCGCCCCTGCTTTTGACTTGTGACTTCCAATGACTGCATTAACTCTGAAGCATGGGTACTTCTAAAATGGTAAAGTACCGGTACCGGGTACGCACCTGTACCAGGTACATGTACCGTACTCGTGGTACTTCATTTTTTTTCATTATTCGGTTTTGAGTGATATTTGTGGTTTTCTCAAATATCAATATATTATATTTATGTATTTTAATTTCTTCGTCATTATATCTTAACATTATTTTTTATTTTTTAAACTTTTAAAATGATGTTTTATTGTGAACCTAACAATTTAGTTTTCTCCTCATACATTTTATAGAAGACTCTTATATTTTATTAACTTACCCGTATCTTGATTTTTTGAAAATTGTCGTATCCCGAACCAGTACCGATACCCGCAACGGGTACCTGATGGGCTTTTACTGTATAGTCTAAATTATAACTGCAAGTGCACAGCCTATCGAAATAATATATAAGATTATCGAACCACAGAGACCAATTGTCAATCTATCGACTCTATTGTTAAGGTGTTTATCTAAGGCAGATCAGTAAGGGATTGAGTTCAGTACATGGAAATAAAAGCGAATAAAATTAAAGAGATAAAACAAACGGGATCGAATGTAAATCACGAGATCAGACAGTGTCCTAGCATGCATGTATAGTATTTACTTTTGGGCAATATTTTCCATTTATAGCAAAGAACTGTTTAACAGAAACTTGTAGCTTTCGCATACTAAGAACCGAGTTTACTCTTTAAATTAAATTCCTTTATTGTCACTTATAAAGGGTGCCTAACGCGTTAAAGAAGTAAACCTATTTTTTAAGAAACAAGTTATTTTGACTTAGTGAAAAAGTGTTTTAATTTGGAAAACTTAACTTAAAGAGATCCTTGGCTTTTGACCAAGAATCAGATTTTAATCCCACAAACGCGTCCGCAAATAGTTTCAAAATCGTTTTCTAAAATTATATCAAGTAATCCTACTTAACCAAACGAACTGCTTTCGCTCTTTTCGTTTGGTCAAGAACTAATCTGGCTTAATCTCAAGTATGGACGACTTTCGATCTTACCCATAAACTTTTAAACACATTTAAACCAGTATTAAAAACTAAAACATCCCAAAGGTATTTCTATTAGCATGGCATGCAGAACATAGTTATGATTCGATCCTTACATTCTAACCCTAATAAATTTAGCTAGACATGATAAGCATTTAAAGTCTATAAAACATGTAGACTATGATAAGAGCGTTTAAAGTCTATAAAACGTGTAGACTATGGTAAGAGCGTTTAGAGTCTATAAAACGTGTAGACTATGGTAAGAGCGTTTAGAGTCTATAAAACGTGTAGACTATGGTAAGAGCATTTAGAGTCTATAAAACATGTAGACTATGGTAAGAGCATTTAGAGTCTATAAAACGTGTAGACTATGGTAAGAGCATTTAGAGTCTATAAAACATGTAGACTATGGTAAGAGCATAAAATAAATGAAAGCAATTAAATTAGAACCTTGCTCCAATCGGAGGCTTGAATCTGATACAAGTCGTGGAAATGTAAAAGATAGTATGATAAACTTCAACCAAAGTGCTCCAAACTTGAATACAAACTCGCACACTCAAGTGTGATAACTTCCCGATGTGAGAAGATTATCACTTTACAAAGTAGTAATATATGCCTAAGTAGTAACTTGACTGGATCTAAGTTTGGATGAAAACGAAAATAAAAAGAACTTGTTATTTATAGAAGATCCTGAAATTCTGTAAAGACGAGCATGCCCCTCAACTCCTTCTGAGCGGGAAATGGTTTGTGAAGACCGCGGGCGCGGCCACCCTCCCCGCGGGCGCGGTGAGTGAAAATGGAGAGATCGTGAGAACGTGGCAGTTGGCCCATGGGTGAAAGTGCGCCATGTCAGCGCGTTCCCTGTAGCCGGCGTGGAGCTGGACGCCATGTGTGTATTTTCTTGGAAAAACCCTATTTTTTTGGCGTTTTCGCTCGTTTCTTCTCTGAAGGCTCTGAAAGGACACGTGACCTGAAAACAAAGGAAACAAGGGCATAATACTAGAAAAATAATAATAAAACTAAGGAAAACATGTGATATTCGAGTCAGAAACATAGTGCAATTCGGTGTTATCAAATTCTCTCACACTTAAACCTTTGCTTGTCCTCAAGCAAAACTCTCAGAAGTAGTCAAAGGGATACAAGTGTTTTTTCTAGTTATTGAGTTAAAGCAGTAAGGTTCAAGTGAGAGTGTGTTCGACCGGTACCAACTATTTGAACTAAGAACATCGAAGTGACACTTTACCGCAGAATGCGGACATAAATCTTATTCCTACACAAGTCAACTCCTATTACTCCCACTATGTTAAGACTTCTCTTCTAGGTAAGGTCCTTTTCATTCAGGTGTAATCACATTAAGCCCGTTATCCGTACATACTCATAGTGTAGTGACCGGTTAGTGATTCTGATCTTTGCAATGTGATTCTGGTACAAGAATTTGTGTAATCCCGTTATTACCCAATTATAGCTGTGGGGGATCAGATCGTAATCTGCCCTACCGAGTTCAGCACCAGATACCTCTGAACCAGCCATAATGGGTAATGCCTTTTATTATTATTTTTCACTTTTTATTTTTTGTGGATGTTCGCGACCAGTGGAATTAAATGATCGTGTGAGGATCACCCAATTCATGGTCGTAACCATACATTTTTGCTTATATATATATATATATATATATATATATATATATATATATATATATATATATATATATATATATATATATATATATATATATATATATATATATATATATATATATATATATATATATATATATATATATATATATATATATATATATATATATATATATATATATATATATATATATATATATATATATATATATATATATATTCAAGGCAAAAAGATCATTCACTTATTTTCATCGGTCCTACACGTAGCGCATGCTTAGGCCGGAGCCGACTACGAGAATAAACTACTTAGGACCCGTTTTGTAAAATTAAAATCATAGCATGAGGAGAAGACGAAATTAACTCTAATATTTACAAGGTCTATGGTGTAAAAGAAGATGTTGATTTTTCAAAAAGAGTACCTAAGACTAATCACACTCTATCCTAAACCTAAAAACTTTACTTATTGTGATACGGTGGGAAAGAACTGACTGTTTTTTGGAATGCTGGTTTGCGTTTTGCGTTTGTTTTCGCAAAATGTCGCGGTAAGCAAGAGTCGCCACCGTCTTTTATTTTATCCAACCAGGAAAGGAAAAAAGCACAGAAAAATTCCTTTTTCGAGATGTTTCTTGGGTTCGGGGGTAGATTATAGAAAGGGAAGGTGTTAGCACCCTTTCTATCTGTGGTTATCCACGGGCTCTTAGGTACTTGCTCATATTGTTTTCAAATTTTGCTTTCTTTGTGCTTGTGGGTTTGAAAAGAGTTTTTGTTTGAAAAGGAGTGTAAGTGTGAAAATTTGTTTTATTTTTGAAGGAGCAAGTACTTAAGAACCATCTACCTACTCGAAAAAGGAATCGTTCTATGCTAATGTCCTTTAGACAATGCTATCCCACTATTGATGAGTAAGTAGCATCGTCGTTGGAGTTTAAGGGTCAATTCGAATGCAGGACATGCGGTCACCAAAGCAATGTTAGGTTGCCTTAGCGATAACCCTAATGTCTTAGATCATTTATTTTGAGGAAACAATATCTGAGGCAACCGTTTCGAGGCGACTATAATCTTTTAGACAAGAGGGCGACCTCTAAAACAACCTATACTCAATGACCGCGTACGAAGGCAACCAAGTGGGGTGTACCCTAAGAGTGAGCATGTGCGAGTGTGTCGTTTTCAGTTATTTTGTCTTTGTACATGTTAAAGGTGATCTATGTTGATTTTAGGTTTAACATCCATTCTTGACATGCATTCCTATTATCAAACATCTAACAGTTATATTTTGCGGAAAATAAATTGCGGAAAGTAAATTACAAGGCATCGGGTATTTACATCGCAAAAGCAACCCTTTGAAATTTAAATGCGGAAAATAAATAAAGCGATAAAAATAGTCCTAATTATCTATTACATTCCAGGAACAAATACAATATTGAATAAATGGATCGCGTGCGGGAAATTAAATCGAATGCGAATTCTATAGTTTTGACCCTTTGTTATTAAAGAAAAGATTTTTTGGTTATTTTTGAATTAAGAAATAAACTATCCTAAATTAATTATTAAATTAAATTAATTAAAATAATTAATAAAAATAAATATTTTTTTGTTTTATTGTGTTATTTAAAGAAAGAAAATAAAATTGATCAAAGTTAATAAAAACCTAATTATGTCTAAGTTAATTTTAATTATTTACAAAATATATTAAAATTAACCTAATTAAAACTAAATTAATATAATTAGTATTTATTAATAAATAAAAAATAAGATTTGATTTTATGAAGAAAAATATTTTTGCGTTTTAATTTTATTAAGAAAAAATTTGATTGGTTGATTGATAATAAAAATATAAATAAAAGAAACAATTAAAATAAAATAAAATAAAAAATAGAAAGAGAAAGAGTTAGGGGTGTGGGCCTGATTTGGAGGTTTGGAATAACAATTCAAAGGCCCAACAGGCGCTGGCCTGACTGACTTTGTGAGATCCAGTGTGTGCACTTTGACTTGGTAGCATGGTGGATGTTCCATCTGGATCACCAGATCTGGCCTGGGGCCATCTGGCAAGTGATTGAGTGAGCGAGTATGTTGTGCTACAACGCCTGATTTGCATGTGATAACCCGAAGAGGAAAAATAACAAAGCATATGGGGGACTTGAGATTCGAACCCAGTTCCTGTTGGATATTGGATGCAAGCCACTACCACTGTGCCACTTTGTTCTATTTGTCAATATATTAATAAATAATAATAATATGGGATAATGGATTAATATGCCAGAACAAAAAATAAAAACGTGCGAATTATGAACCAGCCACTGGGGAGATGACACGCCATCGTCCCCTACCTCCAACCCTGTAACTTTACCTGCGGATTTAGATCCGCAACTAAATTCGCAGGTTGTTCCCAAAATCAATTCTAGACCATGAAAACGACCCCCAAGGACATGGTTAGGTTCGTCTCCCTCTCATGAGTGCAACCATGTCCATCACGAGATCCAATTTCACCTGAAATACAAATCCCTAAAATCTAACACAAAACCCTAGCCATACGGTTATGGGGTTACAGTTCATATAAATGAAATCAAATATTGTCAAAAGTTCAGAAATCTCATAAGCATCACAAATATGTCAAAGATTTTCCAGAAAGATGCAAGAATAGAGAGTTAAGGTTTTGGAAACAGGACCAAGAAACGGGACACTTACAGCGTGTTTTGATGGATATGAGAGCTTTCTTTGGATTGATTCTGACTCAGTGAACCTCAAGGAAACGATTGAGATCGTTCTTGGCTTCTGAATTTGCCTCTAAGTGTGATTTTGGTTTCACACTTTTTCCAACTTTTTTCAAGTTTTGTTTTCAATGTTCTTGCAGCCTCTAGGTCTCAATTTCGTGTGCTTTGGCTTGTATATGTATCATGGAATGTGTTAGGTTAACATTTGTGGATTGAATCTTTGCACATCAATGCCATGGGATTTGCTTTGATCCACCATTGAAAGCTTGCCTAATTTGTCAAAAATCCAATCTTTTTGCACATGGAATGCTTGATACGAGTTTGATGTTTTCCATGATGATGATTAAGTCCTGAAAATAGCAAAAGATCTTATGTAATCAAGTTTTGGGATTTTATTTGATTTAATTTGATTTAATTTGATTTAAAATGAAATAATTCAATAAAAAATCAAATAAAATAATAAAATTGATAAATGGACACAAGGCTGAAGCTAGGACACGTGTGTAATGTGGCAAGTCCAAATCAAGTGGAAAAGAATGGGCCCATTTGACAAAATTTGAAGTTTGGGGATAGTTGACTTTTGGCAATTTTGCAAAAATGCCCAACTTCAACAATGCATAACTTCTTCAATTTTGAAATTTTGGAATGGTTCTTGGACTTTTTGGAAAGCTTGAGGTGTCCTATAACCAAACCGTTTGGTCTCATCTCATTTTGATATTCCATTCTCAAGTTATAAGCTTTGGAAAAAAAAGGTGTCTTTGTTGACTTTCAAAAATGACCTATAATGTCCAAATTTATAACTTCTTGTGAGTGCATTTTATGATCTTGAGGTATGAAGATGTATTGTAGTAAATTGCATCCTATTCAAAATGAGCTTTGGATGGGCCATTTCTCATAAAGTATGATAAAGTTATGCTTAGTCAAAGTTGAGTTGACTTTTCTTGTAAAACCCTAATTTAGCAACTTTTGAGTCTTGATGAATTTTGAGCAATCCTTGATGAATCATGATCAACCCTTGATAAAATGATGAAATATACTTCAAAATTAGAAATTTGCCAAAAAATCTTGAGGTTTGACTGTATTTGGGTCACAGTTGACTTTTGCCCTAGCACAGTCGATTTTTGGACCCTTTGAGCAATTGACTGAGAAAACTTCCTCTGCAAGGCTTGAAATTTGACATGGATGACCTTGAGAACATATTAGGACATTAGGGATCTGTAATACCCCAAATTTGCCCTACCCTTCTACTTTTATCTGGTTTATGCATTGTCGCGCTTTTCTCATGTACATATCTTCATTAGGTCATTTAACATTGCATACATTCGCTAACAACATAACTTCGCAAGGAATCGAGAACCTTCAGGGTTAGGGTTTTATCAACTGGCTAAGGTGTATATGTTCAAATAGAGCCTGATTCTTCCGGTTACTTTTCAAGGCAGTGAAATTGCAGAATTAGGGTTTTGTGTTCATGGATGTTGTGGATCTTTTCTTCATCAAGCTACAAGATCATCTTCCATTAAGAATTCATCGAACACGGGTGTATTAGGGATTCACATCTTCTATGTGTGAATTCGTAATATCTATCGACTGAGGTTCATTGAGCTTCACATTACGCTTCTTTCCATACTTCAAGGCGCTCTCAAGGTAATGTTGTCATCCATAAAGTCAAGATGTAGTATGGATTGGATTGCAAAATGTAAGCCATGGTACAAAAGATGAAGTTGTAGGTTCGTTGAGTTCAAAACTTCATCATTTCAAACAATTATTGCTTCGATTACAAGTTTACTAGGGTTCAAGAGAAATGAGATGCCAATTCGGATTCATTGAAATTTCTAACTGTGTGCGAGATTAATATTGGTCCAAGATCTAAATTTCATGATTTTTAATGGTTGATTCAAGATAAGATTGGATTCATGTAGTTCAAGTTGTCATCTTCACGTTCACTTAATTCATATCCCGTCATTCAAATCTAGGCATGACACATAAGTGGATTCAGATTCAATTTTTTGTGAAATGTCAAATTGGATTCAAGTTTTGAAGCAAGGTGTCCCATGATAAAGTTCAACGTCAATTCGGGAAAGTTAAATTTTGGGACAAAGTTTCATTTAAATTTGTGTTTGTTTCATTCAAGTTACAAGCGTAATGGAGGGAAAGCAATTCAAATTTGAAATAAAGTCTCCATTATAAAAAACCATTTCAAAGCATGGTATCTCAAAAAAAACAAGTTACAATTCACAAAGCTAAATTACAAATACATATAGCATCTGAGTTTCATCCAATTACATTCATAATCATACAAACTTTTATTCTAAGCCTAATCTTAGCCCATACATCTTCATGCTTGCTTCCCATGACCAAGCCACCATGTCTTCAAGCTATGCCCAAAGCTTCATGTATCACTTGAATCCATCTCAGGTTTTCTCAATCCTGCAATTTCGCGAAGCAATAGAAGTCGTTTAGAATTCAAAAACAATTGGCCCTGCATCAATTGAAATACAAGTTCAGCCCTGTACCAAATTAATAAAACTAGCTTAGAAAAATTCAAAACAATTAGCAATCCTTTAACAGTTTCAAACAATTCCAAAATAGCCCTGCACATAAAAAAGGAGTTTATAACAGTTTTTCTAACTTAAACAACCCAAAACAGTTACAACAAACTAACTTAACTAGTAACACTGTTAACAGAATAACAAATCTCCAACCTCCTAACCACCTAACAGAAAGCCCAAACAGAATTCAACAAAATAACCCCTAACTGATTGGATCCAAACCATTGATTTTCATAACAAACTTTCTCCATCAAAGGCTGCGATAGACTCTAGTTAACAAACTCACCACTAGATATAACAGAATTCTGCTCACAGTAGAAAAAACACAATTCATAGAGTTACAAAAAAAACCGATAACAAAAAAGGGAGAAAGGGGTGGAAGGGACTCACGAGATGATCCTACAGGAAATTCTCTCTGAAATTTCTCTCCCCTGTCCGTAATCATCTTCAATTCCCTCTTCGTTGAAGCACTCCAATCTTCATCTGAATACTCTGCAAATTGCTTCTTTCTTTGTATAAACCTTCAGCATCATCTTCATCCGTGAATCAAGAATTTCACCGGTTCTTTATCTTCTTCAAACTACTGCATAATCTTCATCGTTCAACAATATCATCACTGTCTCGATTCCTCTGATCTTCGTCAACGCTTCTCTTCACATCATCATCATAATTGCTTCATTGCTCTAAATTTCAAACAACGAAAGCGCTTCATCAATTCGTAACAGAATCAACGCACAACACAAACTCATAACACAGTTGAAGAAGAAAATCGGAAGAAGAAGTGTAAACTGGAGAAAGAGAATAAGCTTTGTACCTGGAAAATGAGGATTCTCTAGATTTCTTGCGACGTCGACACCGTTGAAAGAGTACCGGACCTCTTTCCGGTAGGTTGAGTTCAACAATGACGAAGAATGGCGAAGCCGTGAACGGATGATGTACGATGACGTGTGGCTCGGAGAGGCGGATAAGTGAGTGAAGGTAGCGCCATTTTTGTTCAAAATCGAAGAAGAGGAGGTGAACGGTGCAAGATCGGAGAAGACAATAGCGGCACGAACATGGTGGAAAATGAAGGTTGAAGCGGATGTTGAATTGAACAGAGTGAAAGTTTGAATCAAGAAGAGCATTAGAGGTGGAGGTACAATATGAAGGGTGATTTGTGGTGGTGGTGATGATGTTCGCTAAGCAAGGAAGGAAGAGAAGTTTGGAGTGAGACGGCGCTGCAAAAGAGGAAGAGGGTCGAAGAAGTCCAAACGACAGACACTGAACCCTAATCCTTTTTAATTTAGATTTCTTTTTCTTTCCTTATAGTTTTACTCTTTTTTAATATATATTGATAAGAGAAACAAAAAAAAATAATATGGAATGGTATTGTAGGTTGCTTGGCCGATCCACCCTCTTCTTGGCCCAAAGGGAGTTTTTTTTAGAGCATGTGGATTGTGAACAAAAAATGCTAATTGGACCCATTCTTGTTGGGCTTAGCATATGTTTCTACTACAGTATCCCTGATTTCAACACTACACCCCTTGTCCTCATAATCTTTAAGATTTTATTTTTCGCATATAATTTTGTCTATTTCTTTTTATGATAAAATTCTAAGATCCATAAAAACTTGTTAGTTTTTTTATTTAGGAATTAATTCTTGTTTGTTTGTTAGAATTTTATCTATAAGAAAAAAATAATTAAAAAAAAGTGGTAGGATATTTTAGAACTCTTTAGAATTTCTTTTTTAGAATTTCGATTAGAGTTTCTTTTTACTATTTTATTTTTCATATTTGGTAATCATTTTTATTGCCATTTTTAGTCATGATTTTTGTGATAGCATCGATGTAATTATTGCAATGGGAAATGGTTGGAGATTAATTTTTTATCACTCATGCGGAGCAACTTCTGTAGAGTTTTCTTATCACTTACGTGGCTTCGAAGAGGCAACGGACCTTCTCCGTTCGGTATCGTCACAACCCTATTTTATTCTTCATTTCCATACTTTCTCGCAATCCATATGCATGTTAACATTAGGTAGAATCCCTCAAATTCTAACTTTAGGTCTAACAATGCACGATAACATTAGGTTAGAAATAGGCTAGTCCCCATTTGACTTTTCTTTCTCCTTTCGCATATGCATTTAAAACAAAAACTTCATTTTCTTTCAAAATTCAAAACACTTTAAAACTACTGATGAGAATCATGCTTTTGCTTAGTATGAGAAACGATAAGCGGGTCTCTTCTCGATCTTATTGTTCCTCATCTCAAGTTTAGGTATGGTTCAATTCTCAAAGACCCCTTTCATAGCTAAGTAGAAAAATGGCTAATATCTCTCTCTTGAGGTCGACTAGTCATTATCTGCAACAAAATACAAACCAACTCAAACCATTTGTGCGCTCTAGCACTTTTCTAAAAAACCTTTTCAGGTAAGGACACGATTAATTTACTTCTGTGCCAACGCATAAGTCTCCAAAGGTCGAGCTGCGGCAGAAGGCGGAATTAACTTCGTCCACAAAACAACACAAACAAACAAAAAAATATGAGCCGAACTACGGTAGCTCTGATTCCTTAAAACGGATACGTAGGTGTTGTACCCCAAAATTTTCCCTCCCATATTCTTCAAGATTTGCAAAGAGCATGCTTCAAAATCTCCCCAAGGGTTGCACATTTCAAGGGCCTCCTAACAGTCAAAAACTAGGGTTTTGGTTCTGGCAAAGAAATTGAAGTTTTCAAGGGTCCAATCAAGTCCCACATGCCTATAAACATGGTCAAGCATCCACATACCAAGTTTCAAGACTTACAGCAGAAGATTGCACAGTCAAAAACCCTAATTGCTCTACAGTCAACTGCAGGGGCAAAATGGTCATTTGACAGTCAAAAGTTCAAATTTTTGGTCAACATCTTATTTTGAATCCACAAACATCATTTGATCAATTCTTGATCATGATTTTCAAGGCATGGCTCAAAAAGTCTCAAGATGCAAAAGTTTCCATATTTGGACAGTTGAAAAAGTCAACTGTAACTTGACCAAGGCATAACTTCCACATGGTTTATCAGAAAAATTCCATCCAAAGATCATTTTGAAGATAATGACATTTCCTACAACTCCTCTTCACACTTAAAGTCCAAGAAATGCTCTCACAAAAAGTTATCAATTTCAACATTATAGGTCATTTTCAAAAGTCAACAAAAAGGCACTTTAAGTCAAAGGCCATAACTTGAGATTGGTAAATCAAAATGACATGGGACCAAAGGCATTGGTTATATGACTTCAAGACCTTTCCAAAATGTCCAAGAACATGATCAAAGCTTAAAAATTGAGCAAGATATGCCTTGTGGAAGTTGGGAAATTTTTGGGAATTTTGAAAAGTCAATTTTATTTCAAATGCCTCAAAATTGCTAATGGGCCACAAATTCTTCCAAGAACCATCATCCAAAAGCTATGCACGACCCATTGACCCAAAGGGGAGTTATTTTCTTATTTTTAATTAATTAATTGAATATTTAATCTATTTAATTCATTTAATCAAAATTAATTACAAGAAAAATACTAAAATAAGGTTTTCAAATCTTTTTGTGCAGTATAATATCTCATCAAGGCCTAAGGATTTCGTGCATGCCCAAAGGAGAAAGATTCCATGCAAATTGGCTAGGTTTCATGATAAAAAGATTTGAAAAGATTATGCAAAATCAAAAAAATCAAAAGCATTGATTCCATGGATATTGGACTTGTTTTGTTGACCTAAAACATTCCATATACATAGACAAATGCAAACCTAATCAGAAGAACCTTGAAGCTGCGCCTAAAAACTCATACACACTTTGCAATTTTTGGTGAAAAAGTCAAAACTGAAAACTGCATTAGAGGTCAATTAAAAGCGAAATATCAATTCCAAAAGCTTTCTAAGGCATCAAGGAACCTAACTGAATCTTTTTCCACGCTTCTAGCATCAAGAATTGGTATATAGAAGTCAAAATTCCTCATACTTTATGCATAATCGTATTTCAATTTCTGGGCATTTTCCATACAGTTTGATTGTTGTTTTATACTAACATGAACCTTCTGAGTCTATTGATATGGTTTAATTGAGTTTTCATAGCCTATATGCAAAGTTACCATTGGAGCTTGTTAGGTTTTCAAAGATGTAAAATTAGGGCTTTGCGTTTGGGGAAAAATTGGCCAACAAGACCTGGGCCACTGAACTCACGACCTTCATACGAACACAACCACCATGTCGCGCTCAATTTATGAGCAACCATGGCGTAATCGCTATTTTTCGCAGGGCATATTTGGTGGGGGTTCAAAACCCCCGCTATTTGATGTATTTTTTCAGGTGAAACAAAGAATCAACGAAGAAGAAGGCGTGTTGTCAACCGGTGATTGGACCATTCAAGTTTCAGCGCGTTTTTTGAATTAATATTATTAGCGTGGTTTGTTTTATATATTATTTATTTTCTATCATAATAACAAAGAAAGCAAATGGCACAAGTGGTAGCTGCGTTGTCATACAAGCATTGGGACCTGGGTTCGATTCCCAGGTCCCCCATATTTCTCAATGAATTTTGTTTTAACCTGATTCCATGCAGTGTACGCCCAGAGGTTCACCATACACCCACTACCCAAAGCTTGCCAAATGTCCTGGAAGATGAATCTGAAGGTCAAGATGGGAGGTCCAGGGAACACCCCAGTCAACGCATATGCACGTGGCCAGAAAAGTCAAAAGAGGCCTCTAGTAAATGGGCCAAAAATGCTGGAAAACACCTCCAAATTGGGGTCAACACCCCCCATTGGTTTGCTTTTTTTTTTCATTCTCTTTATTTTTTCTATTTTATTTGTTTTATTTAGTTTTAGTTTAATTCCTTAAATTAATTTTTTTTCTTTAATATAAAAATAACAAAAAAAACAGAAAGACAAAAAATATAAATATATTTTATTTAAATGTTTTTATAAATAAATTCTATTATTTAGTTTTTAATTCTAGGTTCAATTTTAATGTTTTTTCTAATAAACTAAAAAATGTAGAATTAGGGTTTTAAATACTTTTATCTTTCTTTTTCTTTTTCTTTTACCATTATTAATAATTAATTATTTATTTTGTAAATAAATTGCCATGTAAATAATTAGGTTAAAATTAGGGTACAAACTTAAACATTTTTCTTAATAAATTAAAAATAGTTTAGAATTAGGTTTTAGTTCCATTAACTCTCATTAAACTCCATAAATGCAAAAACTCCAAAAATTCTTTCTTTTATTTTCTTTTAATCAATTTCATGATTCCAATTTAATTTCCTTAAAAGGGTCCAACGCCCTCGCATTCGATCATAATTCTATTTCGCGCGCTTATTTTATTTCCTTTTTATAAATTTCATGTAATTCTCCCAAAGCTATGTAATAGATCAATTAGGGTATTTATTTTCCGCATTTTGTTTTATTTCAAATCGGGTCTTGGATTAATTTGGCGATGTAGACCCGCGCCTTTGTAATAGCGTAGGACTTTTAAATTCCGCATCTTTTAAACTGTTAATAATTTGCATGAAAGAATGAATGCCAAAATAAAAGCAACGCGTAGATCACCAATGTATGAACAAGACAAACATAAATGAACATGACACACAAATCACACACCACCCCTAGGGTACGCCTCATTGTTGCCTTGCCCCTCGAAAGGTGGTCGTCGAGTAGAGGATGTTTTAGTAAGTCCTCATGTCCATGAACATGGCATGAGGGTAGCTTCTAAGGTGTCTTCCTATTGCTCTGGTGATCACCATGTCCCGAACCCTCGAATTGACCCGAACACCTCCAACGGTGGTGCTACCTACCTCTCAATGGTGGGATGGCACTACCTTAAGGACATTTACACAGACGAATTCCTTAGGGTAGGTAGACGACTCTAGATACTTGCTCTAATTTCAAAATAAATCAAAAAATACTTTTCACACCGACACTTTTCAAAAAGCTTTCGAAAGCAACTTTTCAAACACTCTTGAGGACTGATACAAGAGTCGAACTGAAATTTTCAAAGAAACTTTTTTAAACCCACAGTTGAAAAGCAAACAAACAATTTTGAAAACACAAATGAGCAAGTATCTAAGAGCCCATGGATAACCATGGATAGAAAGGGTGTTAACACCTTCCCTTTCT